ACCTGCCTGTCTGGTTTTCTGCACTCCTCCAGCTGGTTGGTTGGCTGGCGCTTTTTACTTTTTAAACTTAATCAAAAACTTCAGATGCTCATAAAACTAGACAAAATACTACGAAGAAGCCGCTGTAATCTAAATCTCTTATCCTCTGTAATTGACATGTCTTATTTTGCTGATTTTTTTTTTTGGTTCACCCCCTTCTTGTTCCTTCTCCTCCTAGAACATTTTGCAGTGTGCCTCCAGAGACTGTTGTTTTTATTCTTAAGTATTTGAGGATGAGTAGGACTTATTCCAGCAACATCTCCTTTATGCCAGTGTCGGTCCTAATAGATAATCTTTTGTGTCACCTAAGTCTCCAGGTCTTATCCAGAGTTTTCCGTCTGTCTCGGAGCTAACATCTCATGATTGATGCACTTGAATTAGGATAGAACATTGTCCGGTGGTTTTGTACGTTAATACCTTTGTTCTGGTACAGGATTTGCTTGCTTTCTTTTTGACATCGATTTATTGGAGCAATTGTCATCTGTCCCATAGAATATTCCACACTGTGCATTTGGCTGATTACTTCCTTCAGTGGTGGCTAACTTGTGTCTCTGTCATGTATTTTTTGGTAGCTAAGGCCTGGTAGGTTTATTTCAGCTGTGAGGACGATACAGTTTCTTGCTGCTCAGGTACATTTGTGATCTGGATTGTGTAGACTGCTCATTTCCTCCACTCATGACTCCATGTCAAGGATGTGGTGTCTACTATTGAAGAACACTTAATCTGTTATTTAGGGGTGCAAAATGCAGCTCTGCTTTTGTATTCCCACTTTTCACATAAGTACCTTCACACCGAGACAAACAGTTCCTTTCTTGCTCATGGCAGCGTCCTCATGTTTCCGTGTACCTCCTGGCATGGTTGTTAGCTCGATTGGAAGAGCGTGTGTACTGGGTTGTGGTAGTTGAGTAGCAAACCACTAGCATGCATCCAATCCTCAGTACTGCCAGAGGAAAGTGAAACCTTGATTTGAGGTTGCCTTGGCAATTCTTGGGGTTGAGGAGAAGACTCACTGGGTAAGAGTGCTTGCTGTGTAAGCATGAGAACTGAAGTTCAAATCCCCAGCACCCATATAAAAAAGCTGGGAATAGCCATGCATGTCTGTAACCCCATTGTTGAGGTTCAGAGTCAGGTGGGCCCTGGAGGCCTAACAGCCAGCTTAGCTGAAGGTAAGCCTTGGTGGACTTCAGGCTCAGTAAGAGACTCTGCTTCAAGGGAACAATGTGGAGAACAACCATCAACTGCCATCCTCCCTCTGGCTTGTGCATGGGCTCATCCATCCACATATGTGTACTCGCACGCATGCACGCGTAAGCATGCACACACAAGAAGAATGTCAGTACTTACTGGCTAGTGTGGAGTGCTGAAGGGTGACTGGCTAAGACTGAATTATCCAGTGTCTATCTTGAATATTTTCAGACAGTCCTGAGCTGTAGAAGGAAAGGTGCCCTTGGTACTGGGACATAGAGAATCACAGGCCTGGGTTCTTGGAGCTGTCCCCAAGCACAGATGCAGCCTCTGCAGCTGGTACCCTCTGCCTTTTTCTAGGAGAATCGTCGTCGGGCTAAAGAGGAAGCCTCTGCCATGGAGGAGGAGATGGCCCTGGCCGAGGAGCAGCTGCGTGCCCGGCGGCAGGAGCAGGAGAAGCGCAGCCCGCTGGGCAGTGTCAGGTGAGGCTTGGCCTTGGGGAAGCACCCAGGGCCAGGCAGGTGAGGTCGGGCTTTAAGAGAAGTCAGTTTAAAGGGACATTGGTACAGAGGTGGCTTTGTGCTGGGTGGTCACATGTGGAGGTGGTTGTTTGGACAACTTGGCGGGCACAGATGTCCACTGCAGTTCTTGGTCATCATCCTGTAGAGTCAGGACCTGAAGTGGGCTGGAGTCGTGGGGGTGGATCTTACAGCTTTATTGCCAGGCAAGCGGACTGGGAAAAAATAGTAGAAGGGAGCCTTGGGCTCCTGTACCTGTGCAGGTATAATGACTGGAGTTAGGTGAACGTGACAGCTGGGCACTGTGGTCTGTCCTCACTCCACCCAGCACCAGCGAGTTTCCTCTTAGGCATGGGGTTCCCATGGACTTGCTCTGCTTTCTGGAGTGATTCAGGGACTCAGGAGAGAGTTCAGTTAATAGATTTATTACTGAAAACAAAGGGAGAGATGTGTGGAAGGAGGGGTGAGCGGATCCTAAATGTGAAGACTCATTTGTCCTTGGGGCTGTTACCATGGCCCGTTGATTTGTGACAGTCTGTACTCACAGGTGTTGACAGTCAGGCACACTCCAGTGAGCTTTGGTGCTCGTGGTTTTTAACTGAGTTCTATGACATTGGCGTGTATGGTTGAGTTATCAAATCATTGGTTGAACTCAGCCTCTGGTCCTCTTCCCCATCCCCTACTCTGGGGCTTAGTCTGGTAGCACATGGCTCAGAGCCTCAGCCCTCAGCACATGACTGGTCTTTTTGACCAGGCCAGCCAGCTCCATCTTACTCCAGGTGAACATGAACTGTCAGGAGTGTTCTGAGGGCCCTTTGTAAGTAGCAGAGATGCCTTGGTCACTTGGCTAATTCCTCCAGGCACTAGGGACAAGGACAAACACATTTGGTGACCTTCTTATCTAGCGACCACGAAAAGAGGTGTCTAAAAATCCATTGTAAATGTTCCTTAACAGATGTCAGGGTGGAGTGACTTCACTAGTCTCCTTGTGGGAGATAGGGGAGCAAGGACTATGGATGAGGTCTTTCAGCCTTGAAGCTGCTGTGCATTGGGTCAGAAAGAGCAAGACCTCCAGGCCTTTGGTCCTGTTGGGTCCCTGCTCAGGGAGAAGCATTGTTCTTACCTCCTTTTTCTGTGTGACCAGGTCCACAAAGATCTACACTCCAGGTCGGAAAGAGCAGGGGGAGCCCATGACACCTCGCCGCACACCAGCCCGCTTTGGACTGTGAGCTGAGGCGGTCTCAGGAGAGGACGGCAGCCAGGTACTGAGCTCTAAGCTCTGCAGCCAAAGCGCCCTAAGGATGCGGACACAAGCTTTCATCTGTGTGTTCACCTAGTCTGGGGCAGTTCCTGCTGCGTCAGCCTCTGCCTGGGGAGGAGGCACTCCTGATGCAGGGCTTGCCAGAAGAGACTGCACAATGAGTAAACAGCTGCTTGAGCAGCAGGAGGTGGCTGGGCCATCACATCCGCATAGCCTGTCCCCAGGACGCTTGGCATGTGAGCAACTTGCTGTGACTGAATCTTTTTTAATCCTTGTGTAAAGTCGCAAGATAGAGGCAGAGGCACTTGTAATTTGACTATCACCGGGAATTTGGAAATAAATATATTATTTGTAAAATGTGATTGCATTTTTAATTTCCTTTCTCTTTCACTGTTCATATCCCTACAGTAGGGACAGGAGAAGCAAATGCCTTGTCCTTTCTGTCCTTGGATAGATCTTTCTAGAACCCTAACTCTGCTCTGTTTATTCTGTTGATATGGGTTTCCTGGGGTCACAAGTATGTGTGCAACATGTTCATGTGCTTATGTGCATATATATGTGAGTGTGCATGCACATGGGCATGTATGAGGAGACCAGAGATGTTGCCCATTTTCCTTATTTTTTCATGGGTGCTGGGGATCTGAACCCATGTCTTCATTCTCACATGGTGAGCACTTCCCTACTGGGCCAGCTTCTTAGCCTTTAGGCAGAGATTCCTGGAGGAGGGGTTGAGACTTGAGAATGGCTCAGGGCATCCAGCACAGGACAGGCAAGCTCTGTGGATACCAGCTGTTTCTGAGGCTGGTAGGCAGGGTGAGGCCTTGATGGCCTACTAATGGAGGGAGGGGAGCAGGGGCTTGGTTTAGCTTTCCCAGGGGGGTTGTCTTCTTTAAAGAGGCGTATACTGTTTGCAGGCTTCCACCTGCTTGGGAATCCTAGTCTTGGCCCTGGGAGGGAAGTCCAGAAGAAGATGGCTCAGTAGGGGACCAGTTTACAGGTTCAGGCTTAGGATACGGTGGTATGGGAAGAGTGGATTCTGACTGATAGTTTCTGACTAATAAGCTGAGACTGTGGACACCAACCACTTTACATGCTCCTTTAGATGAGAAAAACGGGATGTTATGAAAACTAGGTCTGGTGCCACTTAATTTAAAAGTAAGGAACACCTGGCCAAGAAGACAGGTGCCACAAGAAGCATGGCTAGCCTCCTGCTCCTGCAGGTCTGCCCCAAGGTGACCTGGGGTTAAAGCTTCTGCCTGGGATTTGGTCTGGACCTGTGATGACAGTTTTCATATGATTACAGATAGCTTTCTGTGTAGGACAGCTTTACCACTGGTTCTTACCACTGGTTGTAGCTGATTCTAGTGGACAGAAACATTTCTAAAAACGTCCTGTGCTCTCTGCTTAGACATGACCCTGAAGTGAACTCCTAACACTTCGGACTTGCAGGAGTGAGTGAGGGCACTGGTGCCTGTGCAGTCTATAAAAGCCCTGCTTGGGGCCAGATGCTTTGTTCTCAGTCTTCTGAGTTTACCCTCTGTAGTAGAATTAATTTTATACATGATATTAAATAAGGATTTCATTCATCTGCATATTGATACCTGATTTTTCCAGCCCCCATTGTTTAAAGCTGTCCTTTCCACTTTGAACAGTCTTCCCACCCTTGTCAAAAATTATGTGGGCATGTGCAAGGGTGTTTGGGCTCTTTGTTTGCTTCTGTTGGTCAATAGGATTATCTTCATAACAGTGGTCTGACCACTGTAGTTTAAACATACTGCTGTTTTTGCGTAGGACCCAGGTTCAGTTCCCCAGTAATCACATGATGGCTTGCAACTATCTGTAATTCCATTTCCAGGGGTCTTTGACTACCACTTCTGACACACACACACACACACACACACACACACACACACACACACACACACACACACACACGGCTTATAAGCAATATATCCATATACATAAAACATTTAAAAAATGGAACATGACTCTTCAGCTTTATCCTTTTTATGATTGTTTTGAGTTCTCCTGAAATTATGTGAGTTTTAGCATGGATTTCTCCATTTCTGCAAAATCATTGGAATTTTGATAGACGTTGTACCATCTTATAAATCCATTTGTGTAGTATCAGTAGATTGATACCAAGTTCTCTAGTTCATGAACATGGACTGTGTTTCTATTTATGTCTGCTTTAGCAATGTTTTGTAGTTGTCATTATATCAGTCTTCCCCCTGTTAATAGAATTTCTAGCATGATAGAACACTATGTCCAAAAGCATCATCTTACAGCTTATAGTCCATCATCTAGAGAAGTTGGGCCAGGAACCTGGGGGCAGGAGCTGATGCAGAGGTCATGGAAGGATGCTGCTTACTGGCTTGCTCCCCATGGCTTGTTCAGCCTGCTTTCTTGCAGAACCCACGCCTGCCCAGGGGTGGCATTGTCCATAGTCAGATGGGTCCTCCCACATCAGTCATCAATCAAAAAAAATATCACAAACTTTTCCAGAGACGAATCTGTCCCTCTTCAAAATGACTGCAGTCTGCATGAAGGTAAAAAACTAGCACAGCCCACTTGGTTAACTGCAATTTTTTGTCTTGTTTTCTAGGCTGGCCTTGGACCCTCCTACATCAGCCCTCTGAGTGTTGGGTTACAGCCATGTACTGTCATGCCTGATATATTTGATTCTTTTTGATGCTATAGTAAATGATACTATTTTTGTGATTTTCTCACTGTTCATTATTAGTATATAGAAATGAATTGAGTTTGTATATTGCCTTTTATCCTGCTACTTTACTGAATTGGTTTACTCTAGCAGTTATTTTCTTTTGTATGTGTGGAATATGTAGGATTCTTTTTTTCTTTTTTGAGACAGGGTCTTGTGTGCTTCAGTCTGTTCTCAGACTTCCTATGTAATCAGTGATGACCTTGGATTCCTGATTTTTCTCCTTCTGCCTCTCCTGAGTGCTGGGATTATGCATGTGTGTTACCATACATGTTTTATGTGGTGCTGGGGATTGAACCCAGAACCTAGCGCATGCTCAGCAAGCACCGTACTGGCTAAGCTACATCCCCTGTATAGGGTTTTCCACATACAAAATACGACCCGTGAACAGAGATAATTAGTACTCAGTTCTCTCCATTCACCTTACTAAGGCGGGGCCTCTCTTACCCTGTCATGGGCTCCAAGCTGGCCCATGGACTTCCTGGTGAGCCTGCCTTCTCTGCCTCCCATCATGCTGTAGGAGTGTGGGGACTCCAGGTGCGTGCCACCACATCTGGCTTTTCTGTGTCAGTTCCTGGGATGGAATTCGGGTGTCTGGGCTTGCCCAAACACTTCAAGCCGCTGTACTAGCTGCTGTTCAGTTGTTGTGATGAAATACCATGACCAAGGCAACTTGCAGAAGAGTTTGAGGGGTAGGAGACCATCACAGTGTGGTGGAAGTAGAGCAGCAAGACGTGGGCATGGGGGCAGGAGCAGCAACGGAGGTCGTGTCTTTACATGTAAGCAGGAAGTGGAGAGAGCAAGCAGGAAGTGGGGCGAGGTTACTAATTCTCAGAGCCCACTCAAGTGATGCACTTTCTCCAGCAAGGCTGTGCCTCCTCTAAGCCTCCCCCTGCAGTGCCAGCAACTAGGGACAAAGTGTCCAAATATCTGAACAAAGTGTCCAAATATCTGAGCCTGTGGGGGACATTCTTGTTTAAACTGCTCTGCCTGTTGAGCCATCTTGCCAGCTTCCATTCCTAATCTGGATATCTTTTATTTCTTTTTCCTGCCTAAGCACTCTGGCTACAGTTACTAGAACTGTGTTAAATACTAGGGGCAAACGTGGGCATCCTTGTTGTCAATCTCAGAGGAAACTGTTAGCTTTGAGCACGAAGCTGTGGGCTTACAAACTATTTCCACAACCATTTCAGTGTCAGATATGAAATGGTTTTATAGAGACTGACTTCTTTGGTTATTACTTAAGGAATACTTCGCTTCCCCATCTTTCTCTGGCATTGTCTAAGTCTGTTCTCTCTGCCTACGCAGGTCTTCTGCCTGCCTGAGCTTCCACAGCTAGATAACTGGGCGAAACAGTAAAATGGTTCTGTCTCCTTGCTTCCCATAATACGCCCCTGCTTTGAACTGATACAATCACCCCTACAGAGAGTGAAAGACAGCGTTGAATAACTATGTGACATTCACAGTGTCCAGAGGTTGCACTTTCGGCTGACATATATGAGATCTCTTCATGAGAATGGAGATAAGCCTGTCTTTTAGGAGACTGAACTGTAGACTTTAAGATATTGAACTTGTGTTTGAATACAGGGGCTGTACCTAAGACTAGGATGCAGGTCCTATTGGTATCTGGTTTTCCTTTTTCTTACTTTTCTCTAGAAAATAAAAGCTATTCTAAGTTGGGGACAAAGCCAGAAGAGTTTAAGCAGATGGACATCAAACACCACAAGGGACATTTCCAGAGCTTAGCCCTTCTGCATCCTGGCAAGGTAGAAACATGGTTAGCAGTGTGTCTTCTTGGCCTTGATTTGCCTGGGAGGGAGGCAAGAGTATTTGAGAATCATTACCCGCCAGAGCGTCTCTCCCTTCCTTCTTCCCACACCCTCAGAAATGCAAGCTCTCCCATTTCTTCCTCTTATTTTACCCTAGTAGCTATTTGTCTCTGTTTCCTATAGACTGGAAATATAAATTCCAGACATGTACTCAGGTTAACAAAATCCTACCACAATAAAGTAGTTTAGCTGTCCTTGGAGTTTGTTATAATGGAATTTTACTTGTATTGCCCTGGCTGGGGAGAAAAGTAAACTTGTTAAAAGGAGGAATGTAATATGGCAGCCAGGGAGGAAGCAGATGGTGTGTGTGCCCACCCTTCCCCACTTGGAAAATGCATCACTCATTTCTAGCACTTTCTTTTGGGTCCTAGAATTGTTTTCCTTTGGGGGAAAAAAAGGTTTCTAGAGTTTTTTTTTTCTATTTAAAATTCCAGACAGAGACATTACAGGGGTGGGGTGGGGACACTAATTCCCTCTTGTTGGTTTAAAAACCTAATCCGTAACCCAGAGGCTTGCTTTGTGAACACTTTTTCCTACCGAAGTAAAGAGATGAGAACATTTTGGCATCTGGAGAACACAGGGATGAGTGGTTGCTGGGGGTGGGCGGTGCAGAGAAACCAGGAGTTCATAGAAGCTGTGTCGTTTGTATCTTTATCTCAGAGTCTGGGCCTGGAGGTGGGAGTGGGGTACCACAGCTCACTCCACTTCAGGAAGTAGACAAATTCAATAAAGCAATAACATCTTGTAACCCAGACAGGGGCCTTGATGAGTGACTGTCGGAGTTGATTCTGGTCAAGGAGAGGTGGGAACTCGCTGTCCTCTGAAAGTGTGTAGGGACGGTGCATAGGACGAGGAGCCGATTCTAGCAATATGAGGAGCCTGGGGGAACAGGGAAGAAACGGAAGGAGTGACTTCTTGAGGACCAGCGTCATGGTCAGACAGCTCTGTTGTAGGGTGACATCCCCCTTCTGGGGTTTCATGGAATAAAGAGGTGGTGGGAGCAGTAGGCGCAGATAGGCCCAGGCTGAGTTGAGGGCTGGAGTACTCCTGTGGGATGTCCAACCATGTAACAGAAGGAACAAGTCTCTTCTTCCTTTCTCTCTTTCCCTCCACCCCACAGCGGGACAGATCTGCGATGTGAGGTGCTAGGGTATCACCAAAATTCTCAGATCTGACAGATGGTAATTTGTCTCTACCTACAGGTGTGAAAGGAATGATCACTATGAGTCAAGGTCTCCAGTAAGCTGCTGTTCTCTTGTATGAATCCTAACCTAGTGTGTCACTGGAGAATGATGTCACATTACTGCTGTGTTGGTTCATGGGTCAAAGAAAGGAGACATTACAGCAGCAACGAGCAGGCGGCATACACACCCGAGCAGTGGGGCACCCCGATGTACTTGGTGATGTCCATTTTTGGTGTTAGGTCCTTGGATACTCCTCTCCAGCCCAGTGGGCTGCATACTTTCCCCTTTTGGGAGGGTTCCGGTTTGCCCGGGCCTAGAGCTTTGGTGCAGATCCTCGTGTTTCCGGCCTTTGACTTCTTCTCCTCTATCTCATTCTTCAGCTTCTTGTTTTCCTGCTGCAGATGGACCATTACGTTGTGGAGTTGGCTGTGGGAAGGAGAGAAAAGTGAGGAGGGCAGGTGGGTGTTTGATCTACTTGGTGTGCTTGGCTTCTCGCTGGAAGAACCCAGAGGGTGTCATGGGAGAGGGGTGAGGAGGGACCACGTTTTCAGAGCTGGCTTCTCACATGTACCCTGTACAAATGGAGGGCCATCTGAGCCCCTTGGAGGAAGCTCAGACCTGGGAGTGAGGAAGACCCAGGAAGAAGAGCCACTTGGCCAGTTCTGGGTCTCCTGTCTATGTTTTTGATGGGGACCATTAAGCTTGTCTTGTCTGGGGTTCATGGAAGGATTCAGTTTGACAAACGATGGAAATCTGATAGACGAACCAGAAGGCTCTGGACTGTTCTGACTGTGTGTGCTCATATATCTTTGCCTAGGGAATGCACTCACCCAAAGCCAGCACCCTAGTTCTCTCTGCTCCCCTTTCTGAAGAGTAGAGAGTGTAGGGTTCCTGGCTCTTCAGTGAACATGGTCAATTTTTTTCTTCCCATTTTACAGATGAGTTGGTAGAGGCAGGGATATAAGGCAGAGGAAAGATAAGTTAGTGTCTTCTCCAGGGCTCAACCTATGAATTTCTCCTAACAAGTCTCAAGAGCAGTGGATGATTATGGGGACAGGGGACGACATCCAGCCTCCTGGACCACTTCTCTCCTCTCCTACAAATGGCTCTACCACTACAGATAGATCCTCACTTGATGCTTTAACTTGGAGTATTTTCGACTTCATAATAGCGTGAAATGATAGAGTCTAAGTAGGAAACTGTACTTTGAATTTGGGCTTTTTTTCTCAGACTGGCAAGACGTGGCCCAGGTGTTTTGGAAATGCTGGGAAATGGCCACGAACTCCAGCTTACAGTCAGACACAGTGCTGCTCTACAGGCCACCATGGGACATGTGGTAAAATATGGTTATTAAACGCATGTTTGGGTGGATAATATTTTCAACTTGCAATGGATTTATCCAGACATGGCCCTGCCTTAAGTTGAGGAACACCTGTATTCTCAGGTCTTGGGAAGATTAAGTCAGAGTGTGCCAAACACTTAGAACACTGCTTCCCACGTGCCAAATGGCAAACACTAGCTGGGATAATGTTATTAATATTTATTATTAAAAGATGGTTTTCCTTCAGATAATACCAAGGAAGTTCACAAATGAGCTCATGGTGAAAGGGCTCTTTCTGGAACTTGGTACAGTGTAAGGAAAAGCCTGGAGTTACCTGTTTCTTCATACTTCTTTTGGCAGTCTTAGGGATTGAGCCCAGAGCCTTGCTCAAATCACACAAGTGTTCCTCAAACTGTGCAAGTGCTCCCTCACCGGACCACGCCCCTGACTTTTCTCCTCAAACCATGCAAGTGTCTACACTGGCTTACAACCCTGACTTTTCTCCTCAAACCACACAAGTGCTCCCTCACTGGACCACGCCCCTGACTTTTCTCCTCAAACCATGCAAGTGTCTACACTGGACTATGTGCCCCGCTTGTCTTTCCAGTTAAACACATTTGAGACAGGGTCTCACTAAGTTGCCCAGGCCGGTCTTGAACTAGATCTAAAGCCCAGGCAGGCCTTGAACTTATGGTGGCCTGTGCCACTGGGTATGACAACTGTTATTTTAGTTAAATATTTACACAAAATGGTTTTTTTCCCCACTAGAAAATGTCATGGTCCTTTTCAGAAGCAGTCATGTGATGGGATGGACCCTCAGCCTCTTTTCTGGTCACATGCTTCACCCACTCTCCTGTAGTCCCCCAGTCCATGTCCTTCAGTCCCAAGCTCCATGTCCCTCTCTTATGTCAGCATATCTGCTGTCTTCTCCATTGCACACAGCCCAGCCCACTCCTGTGCGTGGTTTCCTATTCTCCATGTCACAGTTCTGGTCTCCCCGTCAACTCGTTACCCAGCTTAAGGCCAAAGCACAGGACAGAGCTTGTTCTTGGGAGCCACACATGGATGCCAGGCATGCAGACGCCGACACTCTCAGCCTTCACCGCAGAGCTTGAGCGAACTGCTGCTTGGCCAACATCGTCACAAGACCCCCGCTAGAATGCCAAACATGGTAGTTTCTGTGTCCCTGGAAAACGCCTGGGAAGCACTCTCCTAGTACTACCTGCCTAAAAGACCCTCTGTTTAGACAGCTGTTTCTTCACCTCTGTTTTCTAACTTCCTGCAGCCCCATGCTTCACTCTCAGGCAGATCACAAGGGAGGGTGGGGCTCTAAGTACAGGAGCCCCAGTTTCCTGGGGACCAGGCAAAGCAGGTCCCCTTTAACTTGAACTCCACACCTTGAGCTGTTCCACGGAGAGCCATGGTTTCCATGCCCCTTCATTCATAACCCATGCTACAGCCACTCAGTCCCTGCCCACAGCCTGCCTGCCAGTGCCCACTCCCTTCTCCATGGCCCCTGAAAATGACAGGGGAAGGGAAATGAGTGGGGGAAGGAGGTGGGAGGCTTCACCCCCTCGTTGATTTGCTGTGGAGGGAGAGGATTAAGGGCCAGTGCAGTCACACCGGTGTTGTGTAGGAACGGTTGCAGGTCTCAGGGTCCTTCAGATCTGTCCCCTTTTCCTGGGGGCTAGTCCCCATACAGAATGTAAGTCAGCCAGGATGATCCCAAGAGGGAACAGAGCAGGGAGGACCACTTACTCCTTTTCTCCGGTCAGCTTGGCGATGTATTTGACCTGTTCTCGCAGCTTGTTTCCCAGTTTCTCATTGGCAATCCTGTCATAAAGCACACAGGGGAAGAATGATTCTTCCCTAGATGGGTGAGAAGTTGAGGGAGGGGCAGTGGTCCTTCCCAGCAGGGTTTCTGCTTGTTTTTGTTTGTTTGTTTTTTTTTGGCGCCCATCACTTCGTCCCTGAGCAAGAGTCTTGTGACTCCTTGACAACTGAAGACTCACATTCTGATGACTGCATACATTTTCAAAGGAATGGGTTCAAGGGATCCACATGAGGCTGGATTCCAACTTGGGAAGAGGAAGCTTGTAGCTCAGTGATGTGTACCTTGCATCTGATGCTACCCTGTCCCTGTGTTGCAGGCTTTGCAAATCTGCTTGGAGGGGTTGAGACCCCTCTGATTCCCAACCCTCGTGTGCGGGTGAGTTCCCAGCAGGCCTAAGTGATGGGTCACTGTGGTTCTCAGTTCAGCCTGGCCTTGGAACCCGCCCTACTTTTGTCTGGAGTACTTACTTCTGCTCCTTTGCCCATTGTTCCACGTTGCACATAATCTGATCGCTGTCCCGGTGGAGCCTACAGATGTCTTTGGTTGTTGACCTTGGGGGCAGGCAGCTTGGCTTTGCACACAAGAAGAAAATGAGACTATAAGGGATGGGAGCACCGGCTGCCTCCTCCCTCCCCCAAATCTGGATTCTTCTTTCTGAGAAAAAAATCAACTCTGTTGCCCAGCCTGAGGCCAGAGTTGCCACATGCAGGACCTCCATTCCACATAGCAGTGACACTCCTGAGGAGGCACCATTCATCACAGACATGGTAGACCTGAACGATTACAGTAATGGTTCTCAGACTGATGGCGGTGAAGTGACTTGTTCTAAGTCTCAGCAAATGGAAGAATCAGGAAAAAGAGGTACTTCTTTTTAATTTGAACAAGGGTCGTATGGCCACCTCAAGATGTCCCAAGACTCTGTGCCATGAATGGCATTGCTTGGTTGCTGGAGTGGGGGCATATCTCAAAGGTCACCTAACCAGTTGGATGGCGAAACCTAGCAGGACATGCCCAGAAGAGGGAGCTAGGGGTCGTGAGTGGCAGTCCATGTACCTGAGTCCTGCTGAGTCTTGGTCAATGTCTATCAACAAAGTCACAGGAAAATAGGTGAGTTGAGGGGTGGCCTGAAGTGTCTAGATTCTGCTTCCTGCAGAGTAGTGTGTGTGTGTGTGTGTGTGTGTTTGTGTGGTGTGTGTGGTATGTATGTTTCTGTGGTGTGTGTGTGTTTGTGTTTGTGTGGTGTGTGTGTGTGTGGTGTGTGTGTTTGTGTGGTGTGTGTATGTGGTGTGTGTGTTTGTGTGGTTTGTGTATGTGTGTGGTGTGTGTGTGGTATATGTGTGTAGTGTGTATGTTTGTGTGGTGTGTGTGTTTGTGTGGTGTGTGTGTTTATGGGGTGTGTGTGGGGTGTGTGTGTGGTATATGTGTGTGTGGTGTGTGTGTGTGTGTCTTGTTCCTGGCATCTACATCAACTCTCCATCAGGAGGGGTGGAGAGTAAGAGACAGAATGCAGATAGTGCCCACCTCCTTCTCATCCGCAAGGAGGCTCTCTTTCAGGGTAGCCATTTCCTCCTGGAATTCCCGGAGCTGCGTCTCTTTAGCTGCCAGCATCTTGAGGTCACTCTGGTGCTGCTTCTGCCATTGCAGCACCTGGTTGCTCATCTCTTCCAGTTTCTTGTCAAAGGTGTGCACCTGCTCAGGAGTGCAAAGCGAGGGGGTGGGCAGGGGCGGGACCAGACAAGGTGGAGGGTGCCCTGTCCACACTGGAAGCTTGGCTTGGACTGTGTGTGTGTGCCTTTTATTTCCAGTTACCAGAAGAGGGCACCCCTGCTCTGACCTTCCCACCTGCCTGTCATTCCAGAAGCAGGGAAGGTGGAGTGAACTCAGCAGCCAAAGGCTAAGGCTGAGTGCTAAATAATTCTGCATGCAAGAGGTGACCTTGTAGACCTCTAACAGGAAGGCAGCCCACACCCCCAGCCTCTCACCTCTAGCTCACTCTGCTGGTGGAAACCCTGTAGTTTTTTTAATTCCACATTGAGCTTTTTCATCCTTTCCTCATAAGCTATGATTTCATCTTCCAGCTGAGCTTTCCTCTCTTGGGTCTGTTGCAAGTTGCGCTGCAGGCTCTTTGTCTCGGAGGTTGCATGAGTGAGCTTCCGGCAAAGACAGAATGCATTAGAGTGGCCACCAGGGCCGTTGGCCTTCTCTGCTAAGTCTTCAGTGCGGAAGGTTCCAGACCCTCCCTGTCCTCTGCCCATGGTGGTGCTGGTGTTCCAGAAGGTGGACAGGGACAGTGATTGACTTTCTGCATGTCCCTCCCTGGTTTTCCAGTTCCTCCTTCCATTCCCTTTCCTTCCACTCCTATACACTGATCTGCAGAGATGACTTTTTGTGAATTTCCCTGACAATCTGGCTTTGGGACAAACCCTGTCTCCAAATCACCCATGAATGGGAAGACTTGCTAGACATTTCCATCTCTGCCACCCACCCCACAACAAATACAAGTACAACAGCATATAAAGCTGAGAGAATGCAGGACTCCATTGGGCAGACACCCCTATTTGTCTAGGCAAGGGTTTAGAAGCCTTGCGAATGGCCAGACTTACAAGGAATTGGCTCCTGTCCACTCCTCGTCCCTGATTTCCTCTGAATACTCTTTTGGTGGAGAGTAGGCGTGGCCTCACCTTTTCCAGGGCTTGCGTCAGGTCATCTTGGCAGATGCCGGACTTGCGCAAGACTTCTTCGTAGGTTTCTTTACTGACCATGTTCTGGAGACAGTTCTTTTCTTTCTGAATGGCCGAGTCCAGCTGTGTCTGCAGGACCATGATGGAGTCTTTCTGGCGGGCTATCTGCGGGAACAAGAACTTCACAGTTGAGGCTGTTTCTGGCCACAGATGTGTGGCTGTAGGAGGTAGACAAGAGTTGGGCTCTCTGCCATAAGTGGCTGGATAGCTGTGTTCATGATCACATCTTCAGCTCACTGTCAGGAAAGTCAAAGTTCTTTCCGAGCTTACCTGTATCTCTCCAGCCATGTTTCCCTTCTTGGCTACCATATCACCAATAGAAGAAGCACTGGGACATGCTAACCACACAGAATACGTTTCACAGACACAAATGTCAGTCTGGGCCAGGGAGATAACCCGGTCCACACAGTGTTTGTGAGGACTTTAGATTCCTATAACCTATTTAAAAATGATGATGAGTCTCGGGGCTGGAGAGATGGCTCAGTGGTTAAGGGAATTGATTGCTCTTTTGGGACACCTGGGTTCAATTCCCATTACTCTCATGGTTGCCTACAACCATCTTTAACTCCAGTCATGGGGGATCTGATACCCTCTTCTGGCCTCCACAGGCATTGTATACAGATATACATACACAAACCATACATACACATAGAAACAAACAGGGTGTGGCAGTGTGCTCCTATAATTAATCTCAGTGCGGGGGAGGTAGAGAATGTGGATCTCTGGGACTCAGACTAGCCACTGGGAGACCCTGTCTCAAAAAGAGAAATAAAGACAGATAATACCTGAGGAACTACACCTGAAAGTTGTCCTTTTGTCTCCTCCTGCACACACACGCATGTTCACGAATACACGTGTGCACCTGTACACAGTAGAGCCCAACACCAGGCTAACAGATATGATGCACACTTCACTTGCCCAGCCCTGCATGCGCTTTAGTCATCTCTTCCTCCTTGGAGCACAACACACACCAGCCACACAACACTCACATCACAAATGTTAACTTTTGGGTTGGATGTAGCTACATTGTTTATTTGGAGACACAAATATTGTATGGATCAAGGGGTCTGCTGAACACAGCTCCCACAGCAGTGCATTTAAAATAACTGTGCACCTTAAACTTGGCAGTGAGCAATCCAGGGTGGCTAAAGGCAGCTGAGGTGTGGAATCACAAATCTGGGTTGGGGTCTAGGCTCTGTCACTTATTTCTCAGGTCTCAGCTCTGTCTTCACAGACCAGGAACCTTTAAACTCTTGCATACGGTGACTCTTGCAGTGTCCAAATGAGATGATGCGTGTAAAAAGGCTCTGTAAAGTATGTCACCATATGGGTGTGAATTATTCGGAATGAGATGAGTCATCTCCTTGCAGACTTTAAGTCCGGGACAGAGATCGGTTCCTAAGTCCGGAAGCAGAAGGAAACCTTCAGAATGTGTAACCAGGAAGCTGCCCTTGATTCCTTGCCTTGTCCCACAGTCAGTCCACCAGCTAGACCTCCCCAGTAACACCCTAATCTGCATCCTCCCAACTGGTCCCTCACATCTACATTTACCTCCTTCCCCAGCCCATGTCCACATATCAGTTAGAGTTCCACGTGTCTGGTCTATGAGGAAATTCTATCAGCCTTTCATTGTTCTTAAACTACAACTCAGATTTTAACAGAGGCCATGATACTTATCTTTTCACTCTTATCATATACCAATGTCTTTATCAATAAATTCCAGATTCACCGGGCTTATTTCACTTCCTAGATTATTTTCAGTATGTACTTAAAAGAAAGATACATGATACACAATCAGGACTCAAACTAGAAACGAGCCAAAATTATGATTACTTTTACCATAGTACTGAGTTAAGGAGAAAGATGGCATTGTTATTTTAACAGAAAAAGAAAAAAACCAACTAGGCACCTATCGGGATTCAAAACCCTCTACTGACAAACTTCTTAGTAAATGAGAAACTGAAGGAACTCGAGATAAAGGTAGCAAGAAGCCCAAAGGACACATTGTATTGATACAGATGCATTACATTAAGAGTAAAGAACAAGATGCCTACTACTGCTCTGCCCATCATCATACTGAAGATACTGTCCAATGTGACAAGGCAAGAAAAATAAAACAAAGATAAATATTATAAAGAAATATTTAGGAAAATTGTTGTTTGCAAATGATTTAATTGTCTATTAAAGAAACCCATAAACTGGATGATGATGTGGTGCATGCCTATGATCCCAGCATGCAGGAGGTAGACAGGGGTGGGGGGGTAGAGAGGTAGGAGGTGGGTGTGGGTGTGAAGAGGGTGGGAAGGGGGTAGAGGGGGTAGGGAGGGAATCATGAGTTGGAGGACAGTCTGTGCTACATAGTGAGATTCTGTTTTAAAATAGAAAAGTTCATGAGCCAAGCATGTAAAAGGTCTGGAGTTTGATCCCTAATACTTTATATACACACACCCATATACAATCACACATCTTGTGAAAATAAGCTGAAAGACTATTACATCTTATCTTAAGTAGGCTTACCAAGATGTTCAAATAGAGAATTAATATATACAAATGGATGAGGTTTTATATTAATATTAAATATAATAAAATACAGTGGGAACATGATATAATCAAATAAGAAGTTTTGAATATGTGTTTCCTTACTTTCAAACAGCAAAATTGAAAATAAAATATGGACTACTGATTAAAGGAAGTGCATGTTTAGAAAGCAAATCTCGGTTCAGGTGGCAGCATCAGGTAAACAGGCCAGCTTCTGGGCCTGTGCTCCAGTGCCTGGGGTTTGCCCGGGAACTGCACAGAGTTTCCAATCCCAGTGGGAGCCAATCACCCCAGACTCCAGGTCTTCTCTCCCACCAAAGAGACCAGGAAACCAGAGGAGCCAGGGAGACCACGGGAGCAGCTGTTCTGGCTACAGGATCAGGTACAATAGGATCCAGCATAGGGTCCAGGGCACCAGGTAGGAGGCTAAGAGCCCCAGATTCCTGTTCTTCTCCATCCCACGGGACCAGAACGAGGACAAGGAATAGAAGAACCACCAGATTATTGGATTTGCTAGCACCCACCAAAAGGGAACTCTGGTCCCCAGACCAGTAAGGGGCTCATTCTGCACCCACTAGAAGAAGAGATGGGAAAGAGACAATACAAAAACACACTCAGCAACAGAAAAACAAATATGACACCACCAGATTCTAGAGACTCCATATCAGCAAGACTCCAACATTCCAATGCGAACGAAGCAGAAGAGAATGACCTTAAAACCATTTTCATGAAAATGATGGAGGCCCTAAAAGAGGATATAGGAAAATCCCTCAAAGAAATGGAAGAGAAAACAAACCAAAAAATGCAAGAAATGGAAGAAACAACAAACCAAAAAATGCAAGAATTGGAAGAAAAAACAAACCAAAAAAGGCAGGAAATGGAAGAAGAAATGAAGCAAAAAATGCAAGAAATGGAAGAAAAAACAAAGCAAAAAATGCAAGAATTGGAAGAAGAAACATACCAAAAAAGGCAGGAAATGGAAGAAGAAACAAAGCAAAAAATGCAAGAAATGGTAGAAAAAACAAAGCAAAAAATGCAAGAATTGGAAGAAGAAACATACCAAAAAAGGCAGGAAATGGAAGAAGAAACAAAGCAAAAAATGCAAGAAATGGTAGAAAAAACAAAGCAAAAAATGAAAGAAATGGAAGAAGAAACATACCAAAAAAGGCAGGAAATGGAAGAAGAAACAAAGCAAAAAATACAAGAAATGGAACAAAAAGCAAACCAAAAAATGCAAGAAATGGAAGAAAGAACAAACCAAAAAATTAATAAAAGGCAACAAATGGACAAAAAGATAAAACGAAAATTGCAAGAAGCAATGCAAACACTGCAAGGATTGAAAACTGAAAAAGAAACAATAAAAAAAACACAATCTGAAGAAAGGCAGGAAATAGAAAAGCTGAGCAAACAGTCAGGTACTATCGATACAAGCATTACCAACAGAATAGAAGAGATGGAAGAGAGAATCTCAAGTGTTGAAGATACACTAGGAGAAATGGATTCATCAACCAAAGAAAACCTTAAGTCCAACAAATCCTTAACACAAAACATCCAGGAAATATGGGACACCATGAAAAGACCAAACCTAAGAATAATAGGCATAGAAGAAGGAGAAGAAAACCACTTCAAAGGGGCAGAAGACATATTCAACAAAATCATAGAAGAAAACTTTCCCAACCTTAAGAAAGACATGCCAATGAAGGTACAAGAAGCTTACAGAACACCAAATAGAGTGGACCACAAAAAAATCCCCTTGCCACATAATAATCAAGACCCCAAATATACAGAATAAAGAGAATAAAGAAAGAATATTAAGAGCAGCTAAGGAAAAAGGTCAAGTAACATATAAAGGAGGACCTATCAGAATTACACCTGACTTCTCCATGGAAACTCTGAAAGCCAGAAGGTCCTGGATAGATATTCTACCTACACTAAGAGACCATGGATGCCAGCCCAGACTACTATACCCGGCAAAGCTCTCAATCACTATAGATGGAGAAAACAAGATATTCCATGACAAAAGTAGATTCAAGCAATACATATCCACTAACCCAGCCCTACAGAAAATTTTGGAAGGAAAACTCCAACCCAAGGAAGCTAACTACAACAAGAAAAACATAGGCATTAGAGAATCCCTCTCTACCAACAGCCAAAAGAACAAAGGGGTGAAATTCCACACATAATTCCAACAACAACTACCATTGCAAATCGAAGAAGGATGAGCAATAAATGGTCATTAATATCCCTCAACATTAATGGTCTTAACCCACCCATAAAAACACACAGGCTAGCAGAATGGATTCGAAGACAGAACCCTTCCTTCTGCTGCATACAAGAAACACACCTCACCCTCAAAGACAGACATTACCTGAGAGTTAAAGGTTGGGAAAATTTTTTCAATCAAATGGACCCAAGAAACAAGCAGGGGTAGCAATCCTAATATCTAACAAACTAGACTTTAAAATAAAATCAATCAAAAGAGATGAAGGAGGTCATTACATACTCATCACAGGTGAAACCCACCAAGATGAAGTGTCTATCCTGAACATCTATGCCCCAAATACAAAGGCATCCACATTCGTAAAAGAAACATTATTAGAACTTAAATCACATCTAAAGCCCCACACACTTACAGTGCGAGATTTCAACACACCACTCTCACCACTAGACAGGAATGCCAGACAGGAACTCAACAAAGAAGCAAAGGGTCTAATAGAAGTAATGACCCAAGTGGGATTAACAGACATCTATAGAACATTTCATGCACATAAAAAGAATATACCTTCTTCTCACCACCACATGGAACCTTCTCAAAAATCGACCACATAATTGGCAACATATCAAACCTCAGCAGCTACAAAAAAGTTGAAATAACTCCATGCATCTTATCAGACCACCATGCTTTAAAATTAGAATTCAACAACAACACAAATTGCAGAAAACCTACAAACTCATGGAAATTGAATAATGCTCAACTACACCATCCCTGGGTCAAAGAAGAAATAAAAAAAGAAATTAAAGACTTCCTAGAATTCAATGAGAATGAAGACACAACATACCCAAACCTATGGGACACTTTGAAAGCAGTGCTACGGGGGAAGTTCATAGCACTAAATGCCCACATGAAGAAACTGGAGAACAGTTATACTAGAGAATTAACAGCACAGCTGAAAGCTCTAGAACACAAAGAAGCAAACTCCCCCAGGAGGAGTGGACGCCAGGAAATAATCAAGTGGAGGGCTGAAATCAATAAAGTAGAAACTAGGAAAACAATACAAAGAATCAATGCAACGAAGAGTTGGTTCTTTGAGAAAATCAACAAGATAGACAAACCTTTGTCCAACCTTACCAAACAGCAGAGTGTGAACATGCAAATTAACAAAACCAGAAATGAAAAGGGGGACATAACAACGGACTCTGAGGAAATCCAGAGAATCATTAGGTCATACTTTGAAAACCTGTACTCCACAAAATTCGAATTTAAAGGAAATGGACGACTTCCAGGATAGCTATCACTTGCCAAAACTAAATCAAGAACAGATAAGCAATTTAAAAGAGGAGTCTAAAATGGCTGAGAGGCACTTGAGAAAGTGCTCAACATCCTTAGCCATCCGGGAAATGCAAATCAAAACAACTCTGAGATACCATCTCACTCCTGTCAGAATGGCTGAAATCAAAAACACCAATGACAATTTATGCTGGAGAGGATGCGGTGAAAGGGGGACACTCCTCCACTGCTGGTGGTAGTGCCAACTGGTTCAGCCACTTTGGAAATCAGTATGGAGATTCCTCAGAAAAATGGGAATAAACCTACCACAAGACCCAGCAACTCCACTCTTAGGTGTATATCCAAAAGATGCCCATTCATACAACAAGGATGCCTGTTCCACTATGTTCATAGCAGCTTTATTTGTAATAGCCAGAACCTGGAAGCAACCTAGATGCCCCTCAACTGAAGAGTGGATAGAGAAAATGTGGTCAGTTACACAATGGAGTACTATTCAGCAGAAAAAAACAATGGAATCCTGAGATTCGCAGGCAAATGGATGACACTAGAAGAAACCATCCTGAGTGAGGTAACCCAGTCACAAAAAGAGAAACATGGCATGTATTCTCTCATATATGGATTTTAGACATAGATCTGGGGAGGGCCAGCCTACAATCCCATGGCCAGAGAGTCTGGGAAACAGTAACTTCATTCAGTGGCTGATCGAAGAAGAGGCAGACTCCCCTCGGTTAAGTACTGAGCTGAACTCAAGAAAGCCAGTAACAGAGAGGGAGGACTGATGACCAAAGGGATTAAGACTGGGCTGGTTTAACCCCCAGAAACAGCTGACCTGACAAAGGTTAACTCTTGAATCCCAGGCATCAGCCTGGGAATTCAGCATGGGACTGATCAAGACCCCCTGAATGTGAGTGTCAGTGAGGAGGCCTAGGTAATCTATTGAGCCTTGAGCAGCAGATCTGTACCCATCCCGAGTATACACACGGACTTTGGACTTCCATCCAACAATGTGAGATGCACTCTCACCCTGAACTCTTGGGGAAGGGTCTAGGCCCTGCCCTATATGAAGTGACAGACTATGGACACCCCCATGGAGGGCCTCACCCTCTCTGGGGAAATGAGGGGATAATGGGAGGGTGGGGAGGGCACGGGAGGAGGGGGAGGGAAAGGGAGAGGGACCTGGAACTGACTTGTGAAGCAATCTTGTTTCTTATCTAAATTTAAACTGAAAAATAAATAAAAAACATGAAAAAAAGAAAGCAAATCTCAGCTTTTTTTCTAATAGTTATTTCAATTGATTCAGTAGATCTACCACATGTATGGAAATGCTTTTCAAAAAGTTGAACATTAAAAAGTTGAATATGCTTACACTCCAAAATCCAAGTTCTCTTATTCTTTGGGCCAAGAATTATGATATTGGTGCTCTTACTTCCAAACCCACATGGTTAACTTTTGACATCAGGCCCATACAGAACATTTTAGTAGCACTCCTTCCATGGAAGGAGGGTTCTCAGGAAGCTGAATGACTGAGACCTCAAAATTTGACAGAGGAAAACACTCCAAGAATGCCAGCACCAGAGACCCGTGCTGTTTGAACTTAAAATGAGCTTATATTAATTAAAAGGACAAAGCCAATTCCTCAGTTTTCAGTGGCAAGATGTGGCGAGTGGTCACATTACTATCAGCTCAGACACAGTCAGGCACAAGGTGCTGCTGGGAACTGCTCATCTTAAGCTTTGAATAGCCCTACGATTTCAGATCTTTTTGTATTTTGAAAGATTAAGGGATGCCTGGGTTTTCATTTGTATCTCAAGAGACCTGTCTTCTAAGTAGTATCTGTTTTTTTTTTTCTTCTCCAGAAAGGTATAATGTATTCCACCGGGGAAAGCATCACTGTGTGTGATAGAGAAAAAGTACAGGCATTAGAGTTGGATGATCCAGGCTCAAACACTGGCTTGTCCCATCGCTTGCTAATTAGTGGCCTTGGGATTCGGCCTTTCTTCCCTTTGTAAGTGGGGGATCACAGTGATGTATGCTTTGTTAAGAGTCAAGCAGAGGGAAGGTATGTAAAGAGAATGGCTGAATTCAAGCTCACTTCCTAGAGCTTGTCACAGCAGCCCCGTGACTGTCATCTGCATAGTGAATCGTGGGCTGGGATGAAATGACCCTCTCCTAGCACCTTCTGTACCTTGCAATTAGTTTGGAGAATATTCTCCCTCAAGTGGCTCCAAACAACTAACTCACTCAGCTCTTTGTCTACCTTGTACCTCTGAAAGACTTGACAGAAAATTCCAGGTAGTTTGGGGTGGGGGATCCCAAGTATGAAATGAAACCTGTTATTTAAGGAAAAAAACTTCCCCCTCCAACACCTAGGGTTTGTAGCCACCCCTTCCCATCAAATGACAGATATGAGCTGCAGGGCAGCCTGGCCGGAGATGCAAAGTTGGGGTCACGTTTTTGGGGTTGCTGTCTACTCACCTCTATGTTGAGCTCTTGGATGACTTTCTGGGAGTTGTTGTATTTGTTGATGGAGGATTCCAGGTGTGAAGAACAGGCATTCAGTTCTGTCTGGAGATTCTCCTTCTCCTCCTCCAGCTTCCTCAAATGCTCTTTTGCCTGCTCTCCCATTAAACAGGAAAGCCCACCCCCACCACCAGAGTGGGGTTAGCCTGAGACTCCTCTCCTTCCTGCCCCTCACCTCCTCTTCTGTCCTGTGGTTCCTCGGGAGTGTTTCCCTCTCCTTCTCTACCTTCTTCTGAGCCCCCAGGCTGCCTGTCTGCCACCCTCTGGGTTCTGGATCCATAGTCTGATCTCTCCAGGACCCGCTCTCTTACCATCTTCTCTTTCTTTTTTGCTTCCTGTCGCAAAGCCTCGATTTCTCCCTCCAGGGCCTTTTCCTGTTCCTTGCTCCTTTTCAGTTGCTCCCGTTTCTCCGCCAGCATCCCTTTTATCTCCTGAAGCTCCTCTTCCAGCTTGTTTTTGGTGTTTGTTAGCTCCCTTTGCTGAGGAAAAAACAAAACAAAAAACCAAAACCAAACCAAACCAAAACAAAACAAAGGCCAGGCTGCGAGACAATCCTATACTATTATACTTGGGAAAAGAAATCCAGACAGTTCTACACAGGGATGGGTGGGAAGATTTGCCTTGATGCTCTGTAACACCTTTCTTTGTTTAAACCAATTTATTTATGGGCCCAGTTCCTATAACGTGGGCCTTCTTGCCTACTAGGCCAACTCTTCACATAAAAACGTCTTTGAATAAAGTGAACCTTAGACAAGCACAAAGGAATACATGAGAGGTCAAAGAATGTCAAGTGATGACCAAGGCACCATCCAACCCTCCAATCATCATCATAAGTGCAGCAGAGGCCAGGGACAGAGATCGCTGGACAAGCATTGACTGAAAACAAACAGGAACGGGCCAACTGTGGTTTGAAAGAGCATGTCCCTCACAGGCTCCTGCATTTGAACACTTGGTCCCCAGTTGTGGGGGATAGGAAGTGTGGTCTTGCTGAGGGGAGTTTGTCACTAGTGACTGGGCTTTGAGAATTTAAGGTCTTGTCCTGTTCCTGCTTTGTGCTCATGGTTCAAGATATGGTCCCACAGCATCCTGCTCTAGCAGGCGTGCCTACCAATTCCTGTCCCCACTCCCACGATGAACTTGAACCCTCTACAATGTAAGCCCAAGTAAACTCTTTCTTCTATAAGTTTCCTTGCTCATGGTGTTTTATCACAACAATAGAAAAGCAACTAATACAACAACCTAGACTGTCCTCTGGCCATTTTAAAGCTTAATCCTTGAAAATGCATACAACCAGTCATGAGAACCGGTGTGGAGTGGCTGGTGTAACAGTCTAACGCAAGTTCTGGGAAGTTACTAACGACTGACCCGCTTACCCTCGGGCAGGACAGAGAGTAGAGGTGGCTGTCTGTGCACTCTCTTACCTTTTGCTCAGAAGATTTGGCACTATCAAGCAAGTCATTTATTCTCCTTTCATCATCATTTAGTGTCTTTTGGAGCAGCAACTTCTCCTTGTCAGAATTTGCAAGCCTCCTCTGGCCCTCGTTGAGTTCTGAGGTGAGCTCATTTAACCGTTTCCTACAGCAAGGCAACCAAAGGATGAGCTTCAGGGCGCGTGTTGATGGATTGTGGAGATGGTCTCACCCTAGGGCCTGCTGTGTCACTGTCTTGTCTCTGCACAGCTGCCAGCCCGTCGTGGTTCAGGGGTGGGGCTGGGGTACCTATTGCTCTGGTTCAGGGGTGGGGCTGGAGTACCTATTGCTCTGGTTCAGGGATGGGGCTGGAGTACCTATTGCTCTGGTTCAGGGGTGGGGCTAGGGTACCTATTGCTCTGGTTCAGGGGCGGGGCTGGGGTACCTATTGCTCTGGTTCAGGGGTGGGGCTAGGGTACCTATTGCTCTGGTTCAGGGGTGGGGCTAGGGTACCTATTGCTCTGGTTCAGGGGCGGGGCTGGGGTACCTATTACTCTGGTTCAGGGGCGGGGCTGGGGTACCTATTGCTCGCTCGCTCCTCTTCGGTTGCCATAGACTCCATCTGCAGCTTCTGCAGCTGCGCCTGGAGATCTTTGATGACATCTGCCTTCTGCTTGTCCTGGAGAAGGCAGTTCTCGATCTTCCGATGAGCATCCTCTAGGTTGCTTCCGGCCTGCTGCGCTTCCCCCTTACAATGGGTTAGATTCTGATCTGAGGAAGCCAAGGAGGGCTCCGTGTGAGAGGCAGCACACTGGACTCAGTCAGAACCCACGGGAGACTAAGTCTGTTATCCTGTGACATTCTTCAGTCCCCAACCTGCCCTCGCCTCTTCTGATGCCATCATTGATCTGAAGGAACTCTGCTCAATTGTCTTCTACTTACCCTTCTGCCTTGGATCCCTTCCTGACTAAAATTAAATGAATCGGGAGAAACTGTTCACCTCCATCTGATTCTGTCATTAGGGACAAATCCTGGTCCTCAAGGAGCTTAGTCTGGTGAGCACTATGATTAAGCAGCCATTAGAGAGAACACTGGATGGTATTTATTGATTTATTTGTTTTTGGTGCCAGGAGCTAAGCACACGCAAAGCTCAAGCTCTGCCACCACACCGTGGCCTGAGAATACCGCAGAGCAGCCTTCAACTCACACTGCCGAACTCAGCAGTGAAAGCTGTGGGTGGACTTGTGAAGAGGGCCAGGAGTTGATTCAGCTTGAGAAGAGGGAGGGATGTGTCTTGGGGAGGGGCTTGTTGGAACAAATGTGTTGTGAAGGGACCGTGGAGTGAGCATGTGGTTGAAGGGTGAGAGGTCTGATGAGTGGGAATGGAAAATGGGAGGGATGGCGGGCTGCAGATGAGCAAGAAGGCGGATCAGAGAGGGCTCAGAAGAACTGACAGCACGAGAGCAATGTTTAAGACTTGGAGCAGTAAGCAGAGGCCCATGTAAGGAAGAGCATACTAGGAAAACCGCAGTGCAAGTTGGACATGGTGGCATATTTTGGAGGCAGAGACAGGAAGTGCTCCACAAGATCAGCCTGGTCTGCATAGTGAGTCCCAGACCAGTCAGTGCTACAGAGTGTGACCATCTCAAACAAACAAAGACAAACAGGGGTGCATTCAATTAGAGATGATTTCCAGATATTGCCTTTTATTCCCCTGCCTCCACTGAAGGAAGAAGCCCTTCTGTCATTGGGAATCATTTTGGTGGAGTGTGTTTCCTCACCCCATAGGTGTTCTTCAAACACCATTCTCTCATCCCTTCCTTGAAGTGTCCTGTTCTGGTATACCAGAAGGAAGATAGTGTCACTGAAGAAGTGATCATACCTTTTGTAAAAAGGAGACATGAGGATTAAACACACACAAGGACACACACGCGTGCACACACACACACAGATATACACAGTCACAGACACACAGACACATACAGATACAAACTTCCACACAGACACAAAGACATACAGATACACAGACACAGACACAAACACACAGAGACACACACAGACACACAGAGACATACACAGACACAGAGACACACAGAGAGAGACACAGACACACAGAGACACATAGAGACATAGACACATACACAGACACACAGGGACACACAGAGAAGCGTGCGTGCATACGCACACACACACAGACACACACACAGAAGAGATTACGTTCCATTTTAGAAAACTCAAGAGGGTGAAGTGGGTGCTAAGGGACGCTGTTTTTCCAAGGCAGGACTGAGCACAGCTGCAGTGTTACTGAGAGGACTCTAAGGAAGCTACAGGAAGAGGAAACTCATTAAGGAATGAGACTAATATGGTTTGATCAAGCAAGACCCCCTGAAGCAGTGGCCCAGGTGATCCAACTTCCAAAACAGCTGGGATAATGCAGCCTTGCAGACCACTACAGCCAGGATTTGGCCAGGTTTCTGGGCTTTCTCAGGATCCCATGGTATTGACAGTACCCCCAAACAGCAGGAAGCAATTAGGAGAAAATGACAGTCAAATTCCCAAAAAGTGTTTATAAATGTTTGTTTTCATTTAAATGGGATTGGTTATAAATGGTTAACGATCACAGCCAATCTCTTTTTAAAGGAAAAAAGGGAATATGATATAGAAATGAGTACTTGCATTGGTATGGATTTTAGTTTATTGATACAAATTTAAGGTCAATTTTGTTATATGTGTATTTAGCCTCTTGTTTAGGTATTGCATTTATACAGATCATTTAAAAATGTAATGTATATCATCTTGGTTCCTACTTCCTTCTGCTTGCCCTCTCTGGGATATCCAGGCCTGAGAACTGCAGCCAGCTCCACTTACCCCATGAGGACTGAGCAACCAGGAGCCTGCTGAGAGAGCTGGTCTACTCAGGGTAGAGTGCAGAGAGCAGAGGTCCCACCCACCAGGAGAGGGGGATGCAGACAGGTCTGCATCCACCGTGAGACCTGTCAGTGTATCGGACCTGCTTGCACCCACCGGAAGAGACCTTGAACCTGTACCCACCAGGAAAGGAAGAGACCCCACCTGTACCCACTGAAAGAAGGGATGGGAAGACGACAATACAAGAACAAATTCAATGACAGAAAAACCAATATGATGCCACCAGCAAGACCTGAACATCATAGCACAGATGAAGCAGAAGAGGACAAACTTAAAAACAACTTCATGAAGATGATAGAGACCCTAAAAGAAGAAATGAGAAAATCTTTTTTTTTTTTTGGTTTTACGAGACAGGGTTTCTCTGTTTTGGAGGCTATCGGTCCAGCCTAGCCTCGAACTCACAGAGATCCACCTGCCTCTGCCTCCCGAGTGCTGGGATTAAAGGCGTGCGCCACCAACGCCCGGCTGAAATGAGAAAATCTTTTAAAAAATGGAAGAAAAAACAAACAAAAATTCAAGACATGGAGGAAAAGACAAACCAAAAATTGCAAGAAAGAGTTCAAACAATGCAAGGTTTGAAAGCTGAAATAGAAACAATAAAAAAACACAGTCTAAGGGAATGCTGGAAACAGAAAAGCTGGGTAAGTGATCAGGAACTGCAGATGCAAGCATAGGCAACAAAAAACAGGAGTTAGAAGAGAGAATCTTAGGCATTGAAGATTCACTAGGAGAAATAGATTCATTGACCAAAGAAAATCTTAAATCCAATAAATTCCTAACACAAAATATGGGACACCATGAAAAGGCCAAACCTAAGAATAATAGGGATAGAAGAAGGTGAAGAAACCCAGCTCAAAGGTGCAGAAAACATATTCAACAAAATCATAGAAGAAAACTTTCCCAAACTAAAGGATTACATGTCAATGAAAATACAAGAAACCTACAGAACACCACAAAGAGTGGACCACAATAAAAAGTCCCCTCGCCACATAATAACAAAACCCCCAAAAATACAGAATAAAGAAAGAATATTAAGAGCAGCAAAGGAAAAAGGCCAAGTAACATATAAAGGCAAACCTATCAGAGTCACACCTGACTTCTCCATGGAAACTCTGAAATCCAGAAGGTCCTGGATAGATATCCTACCAACACTAAGAGACCACAAATGCCAGCCCAGACTACTATACCCAGCAAAGCTTTCAATCCCTATGGATGAAGAAATCAAGATATTTCATGACAAAACCAGATTTAAATAATACATCCCCACTAATCCAGAAAGTATTGGAAGGAAAACTTCAACATAAGGAAGGTAACTATGCTCACAAAAACATAGGCAGTAGAAAATCCAACCTTACCAAAAGCCAAAAGAAACAGCAGGGTAAATCCACAAACAATAACACCACCACCAACAAATAAAACACAAACAAGAATTAACACTCAATGGTCCTTAATCTCCTCTAATATTAATAGTCTTAATTTGCCTATAAAAAGACACAGGCTAACAGAATGGATACGAAGACAGAATCCATTCTTCTGCTGCATACAAGAAACACACCTCAACTTCAAAGACAGACATTACCTCAGAGTAAAAGGTTGGGATAAGATTTCCAATCAAATGGTCCCAAGAAACAAGCTGGTGTAGCTATCCTAGTATCGAACAAATTAAACTTCAAACTAAAATCAATCAAAAGAGAGAAAGAAGGGCATTTCATATTCATTACAGGAAAAATCCATCAAGATGAAGTCTCAAATCTGAACATCTATGCCCCAAATACAAAGGTACCCACGTTCGTAAAAGAAACATTACGAAAACTCACATTTAAGACCTCACACAGTTATAGTGGAAGACTTCAACACCCCACTCTCACCACTAGACAGGGCCACCAAACAGAAACTTAACAGAGAAACAAAGGAACTAATAGAAGTTTTGACCCAATTGGGTTTAACAGACACCTATAGAACATTCCATCCAAACACAAAAGAATATACCTTCTTCTCAGTGCCACATGGGACCTTTTCTAAAATCGACCACATACTTGGCAACATAGCAAACCTCAACAGGTACAAAAAATTTGGAATAACCCCCTGTATTTTATCAGACCACCCTGCTTTAAAGTTAGAATTCTCCCGTATTTTATCAGACCACCATGCTTTAAAGTTAGAATTCAACAACAACAAAATTGCAGAAAGCCTACAAACTCATGGAAATTGAACAACGAGCAATTGCACCATTCCTGGGTCAAGGAAGAAATAAAGAAATTAAAGACTTCCTAGAATTCATTGAAAATGAAGACACAACATACACAAACTTGTGGGCCACTTTGAAAGCAGTGCTAAGAGGAACGTTCATAGCACTCAGTGCCCATATGAAGAAACTGGAGAATAGTTACACTAGAGAATTAACAGCACAGCTGAAAGCTCTAGAACAAAAGGAAGTACACTCACCCAGGAGGAGTAGATGCCAGGAAATAATCAAATTGAGGGCTGAAATCAATAAAGTAGAAACAAAGAAAACAATACAAAGAAAATCAACAACATAGACAAACCTTTATCCAAACTAACCAAAAGGCAGAGAAACCATGCAAATTAACAAAATCAGGAATGAAAAGGGGGACATAACAACAAACACTGAGGAAATCCAGAGAATCATCAGGTCATACTTTGAATACCTGTACTCTACAAAATTTGAAAATTTAAAGGAAATAGATGATTTTCTGGATAGATATCACTTACCAAAATTAAATCAAGAACAGATAAGCAATCTAAACAGACCTATAACCCCTACTGAAATAGAAGCAGTCATCAAAAATCTCCCAACCAAAAAGAGCCCAGGCCCAGATGGC